CCCCAAAACCCCAAAACCCCAAAACCCCAAAACCCCAAAACCCCAAAACCCCAAAACCCCTTCCCACAATCGCATTGTTGAGTATATAAATTAGTTACTAATGTGATACAGAAGATTTACTTCTTAGGATCATCAGCTTCTACAATAGGCTGCTCAGGTTGTACATCCTCCTGCTTCAATGCATCAGTAGAAGTATCAGACCCCTGTGTATCGCTAGTAGGGCCTGATGCATTCTTGGATGGCACTTCTTCAACTTTTTCCTCCTCCTCCTCAGGCTGGGAGAGAGCTTTCTGAATTTCTTCCCTTTTGAACAGATTTGTCATTCTATTGAGGAAATCTTCAAAGCATTTGTTGTCAAGTGCTGAGTAATACTCAATTGCCTTTTGGTAGGAATCCATCAAATTTTTCACACTTTTATTATTTATCTGCTCTTCGATGGCTTTCTCAGCCTCTTCAACCTGCTGCAGGAGGACAGACTCATTGGTCTTCTTGATGGCTTTGTCGTTGACCTCTGAAGCAAGGATTTTGCGCTTTTTCATGTACTTCTTCTGTACAGAAATTTCAAGAAGTTTGAGGTATTTCACGATCAGGTTTATTCACTCAACATAGTTCTGGATTTCAACCTTCAGTACCCATTGGTATCTCTGGTCTTCCATCTTTCTCCAGATAAAGGTGACATACTCTGGCATGTCCAGGTTCCGGACGATCTTCTCGAGTGATCAGAGAGTGGCAACTGTGAGTAGCTTTGCCATACCTTTGTGTTTTCGGTCAGGTTCAAACAGGAAGAAAGAGTTTTCATACACTGCTATATAACGATCATTGTATTGAAAACCATCCAGCGTCTCTGTTTCTTCTCTAACTGCAAACAAGCCAATTCCCATATCCTTGAGGGGATAAGACTGTCCGAGATGCCACTTGCCGATGGATTTAATTTCATCCTCCTGCTGCATTTGGAGCAAGAGGTCTGCAACGAATTGGGGGATGAGTTCTATTGTCTCAAAAATGGTCATATTATTGCTCCATTCTTTATGAATGATTTCCTCCAAGATATCCCTCTTATCATCGATAGTAGGGTACCCAATTTTGGTCTTACAATACACTTGGGGAGCTTGCAGAGGGAATCTCTCAGTCAGTAAAATCTCAAAATAGAGCTTCTCAATGTCAGGGTTGAGCAACTCTGATTTTATGAGAGAGGACTGGATTTCAATTCGTATTACTACTCCATAAGTCTTTTCGATCTTTCCAAAAAGCATCTCCTTAGGGAGATTTTTTAGCAGTCTCACTTCCTTGGCAATACGCTTATTTTGGATCTTCACGCTTGTCGCTTCCATTTGGAATTATTTATATTATATTCTTTTCTTATTTACTATTAGTGGCCCAGAGTAGGGGTTTTGGGGTTTTGGGGTTTTGGGGTTTTGGGGTTTTGGGG